GGAATTCTGCTGCCCTGAAGTGCCATGAGCAGCAGGTGTGAGCTGGGACTGGGGGGCTGCCTCCAGTTCAATTCAATAATCCATTCCCAAGAAGTGAAACAAAGGGAACGAAGCTGTCACGGGAGCAGATGCAGGTTTGCAGGGAGGCAGAGGAGCAGCGCTGCAGCTCACGGATGGGGTCAGTGTGTGTGGGGCAGGATTCAGGCCAGGGCTCACCCACCTGTCCATGGCGCCGGGGTCGTTGTGCACGCAGGTGAGCGTGGCCGTGCTCCGCGCGCTGTCCGTCTCCTCCTGCACTCCCCACTGGTCAGCGTCGCTCACCCTGATGTCCGAGATCCTCACGCCTGGGGCCGTCCTGATCCTGTGGGGACACCAAGCATTGCCTTTGAGACACAGTGGAAATTTTTCAGTGAAAAAAAAATTGAAATTTTTAGAAATCCGTTTTGGTTTAGGTGAAATGTACGTCTTCGAGTTAAGTCTGTAGTTTGAAAACAAAACTGTTTAGTCTGACTCCTGTTCTCGTAAAAAGCCTAGGCTCAGAGAAACTGCTTCAGTGAAGGACAGAAATAAGGGGGACATACAGAGAGACAGAAACTGCTGTGAGAACAGGTCAATCTGACCCAGGGATTCTTTCTGATAAAGAAGAATTAGCAGCAAATGTCAGCATGCAAAATTTGTAAAAATGAATATGTATGAGCCTATTGTGAAATTGGATGCATATGTATTTGAGAGGGGGATAAAGAAGGATCTGGAATTCCCAGAAGCACATGTCTTTTAGAGAGAGGAATCTCCACATGCTGTAATAAACATACCAGCTTTACAACTTTCACAAAGTTGTGGAGTTTTGTTTGCCTCCACAAAACACCTTAGCCACAGATCCACCCAGAGAGGTGAACAGGAGGCTGAAAGGAAAATACTCCCTCTCCCATCAACAGCAGGCTGCAGCCACGAGTCACTCTGTTTAAAAACATAAACCAGGTCCAGTCATTTACAGAGGTGAGGGATGAGTTTCATTATGTGCAAAGCCAGTCAACTTTAGCTTGAGCAATGTGGAGAGATTAAAAATGGTTTCTGCTCCTGTGGCCCCAGTCTGATACAAATGAAAAAGGTGTGATGAAGCATAAGTTGATTTAATTTGCTGTGTCTGTCCTGCAGTTTGAGATGGGAAATAAGAGCAATGGGATATAAAATACATCCTCCTGCCTGCAAACCTTTGGGAGTGAGGTATCTTCTGATATTAGGGATGCCTGCATGGAAAAAAATTAGTTTCATTGCTCAAAGACCATAATGCAGGAAGGAGAGAAAAGGAGTAAGCTATCCTAGACTGAGGGAGGAAAACAATTATGTCATTGCAGCAGGATCTATCAAACTGGGCACATCAGACTGCTGCTGCCAAAAATAATATGATGCTGACATGGAAAACTTTGATTTCCTGAGAATGGCTAGAGTTTGAGAGCAGTGTGGTAGCTGGGAAATGTCGCTGGGTTTTGGCTCAGAGAAAATAAAACTTGCCAAAAATAAAAAGTCCATGCTCCAGCGAGGCTCAGCGTTAGGAACAGATTGCCAAGGAATAGGAAACAAACTGCTTTTATTAGCAGGAACTTCATTTGTGCAGCTTGACTCCTGAAACAAGCCTGGGATTACAACAGGAGTGCTGCAAATACGCCTGGAGAACAATTAGGCAGAGAGAAACTGCAGCAGCGCCACGCTTGCCACTGCTGTGACTTAATTAATTAAAAGCAAAGCCAAGAGGGACCTTTTAGTTATATGGTGGAATGGAACAGCACTGCTGGGACCTGGAGTGTTATTTAACAGTGAATTGTGATGGCTTTGCCCCGTGCCTCATGGCCAGTTGGTGCTCGTGTCACACCATTAAAAACTTCCTTGGAGCTCTGCTGGGTCCATGGGCTGGGATCAAAGGGAGTTCGCAGCTCCATGGGTGGCCTGTTCCCTTGAGAAGGAATTAATTCATCCTGCTTTCATGATATCCTTATTTTGCCTGTAAGCCTTTAGTGACTCGATGGGTCAAATCCATGCCTGGCATAACCAAGCTGATGAAAAATATTCTCTGAAGCAGGATTGTACCTGATATTTTCTAATTGTGTCCTTCCTGCTTTCCCACAGGCATTCACATTTCCAAACAGCATTCCTCAAAGCTGAGGTGCCCTTTCCTATCACCTCCTCTTCTTTTTTCTGAGGGACATTGAGTTATTCTGTAGTAATTGCACTGGACCAAATAATTCCTGCAAGACACCTGCATGGCTTCATTTCAGACTGGCTTATAATTCATGTGAGACAGAGAATTGGGCCCTCAGCAATGGATTCAATACTTTCTTTCATTAGTAAACCACTTTTGAAAAAAATCATTACGACCTGGCAAAAAAAAAACCCCAAAACCAAAAAAAAACCAAAACAAAGTACCTGTTTTTAAATTTTCTCTTCCCCAGCCAAATTTGTATTTTTTTGAGAAATTCCTATCACCATCCTCTCAAGTTCCCATGCTTTTCTTTTCAATGTGTCTGAAAACTTCTACCCTGACTTTTCACCCAGCTCAAATCCTGGTTAATTAAAGGTTAATTGAAGGGCAGAGATGCTGGGGGGACAGGCACACCAGGACAGTTGGAACTTATCCACAATTTCAGGATTCATCAGCCTTTCCCATCTGCCAGAAGCTCGTTGTGTCCTCCTACACAGCTTTGCACTGCAGAGAGCTTCACTCTGCAGCAGCTCCGTTTGTCTGTCCTGAGCCAGATCTGGGGAGGAAGAGCATGAGGAGCTACACCGAGGATGAGGAGCTACAACAATGAGGAGCTACAAGGATGAAGAGCTATACCAAGCATGAGGAGCTACACTGAGGGTGAGGAGCTACAACAAGGAGGAGGAGCTACAATGAGGATGAGAAGCTATGGGGAAGAGGAGCTACATTGAGGATGAAGAGCTACACCGAGGATGAGAAGCTACATTGAGGACGAGGAGCTACAACGAGG